CGAAATGTATTTTGTCATAAATATTAAAGCCCTTTATTATAGTTAACTTTAAGAAAGAAAAGCATAACTTTGACTTCAAACATAGATACAAAAATAAAAACTAAAAAATGTGCGCCCACTTATCGCATGGGGTCAGGGCTTAAAAGAGTAGCGACAAATATGTACTCGCCGATGTTCTGGCCGTGACTTATTTACGTACCCCGCGGGGAGCTGGGAAGCTAGACAGAGCGCGAGCACGCTCCAAGCACTGCAAGACATTTTTTTTTCAACTTGAAATGACCTTGACCCCATGCGCCTAATTAAGGGTTAAATGTATTATATTCGTTTTTGGTTTTAAAAACTATATTATAACAAGATCTCATTTTTAAAATAAAAGATTTGTCAAGTCGATTTCATGAATTTGTATTAAACAAAAAATTGGCGATTTTTGGCGATTTTTTTTCCAGAAATTGCGCTTTTTTTTAAACAATCTGGACACTCTGGTTGAAGCGCTAATCAAGGCCTTCTTTGGGAGCAGCAAGAGAGCGCTTCTTTCTAATGACATACAATGTTAAAATACAATAAAGTATGAAATTGGGAAGGGAGCGCTTACTGCTGAATATGGAGAACTCCAATAGAACTAATGGAGCGCTTCTGGCCCCGTTGGGTAGTTATCTAAAGCTAGCTTTGAAATGGAATATGTCTTCTTTACATATTCCTCTATAAATAGCACCAAATGTATATAGTTCAGTTAACCCGTAATGGCCATACTATATGATGACTATATAGTTTACATAGAAACTATTTAAAATCGATTTTGTCTCTTCACCTGTATTTACTGTAGTTTAAGGTCTATCCGCATACATCAGTTACGTCACAGTTCTGTCACGGCCCCAAACCGTCTCAGTCAAAATAGCAGTTGTGTTCACACATACACTTAAGTGCGAAATTGAGTCAATAATAAAAAAAAATCGCAACTTATTAGTTTGTCGGTGATTTTTTTTATATACATATATTAGAGTTTAGTTTAAAACACTAGAATTCACCATAAAAATATCAAATTTCGCTAACGTATATGCACTCCATCAATTTTTGTAAATTAACACATTGACTCAATTTTGCACCCATATAATTTATAAGAGATATCGCCACGCTGCAACTCGCTGCAACCCGTTTTCCTCCGCTGAAGTATCGGCTTTTGTTATAAGCAGGGAACGGATTTTATGGAAATTGCCTTTTTTTCTGCTAAAGAGATAGAGTATATTCGATTAAGAATGTCCACGATTTAGCTTCCCCTGATTCCATATATATACATTTGATGTTGCCTTTTTTAAGATATTTGCTTTTTTTTGCCTTTTCTACCTTTAAAAAAGTGATTATAGCATTTACATTTTTTTTTAAGATTAAAAAATATACACATTGCCCATGCGGCTTATAGAAGCGCAGAGACCTCTTGCCAAATTGGTGTTGGAAAAATTCAAAGCCGTTTTCTCAGCTAACGAAGGCTTGGAGACAATAAGGGGTGTTATAGAATTATAAAGGGCGAGGAAAACGCCCTTATTCCTGATAATATGAACGTTTCAAACGTTCCATATTTAAATTGTGCTCCACTTGTATCAACTTACGTCGAGCGCACATTTAGTACATTCAAGGCTTTTCTTCGCGAAAATCGAATGAAAATGCTGCCAGAAAACTTCAAAATGCATCTTGTGGTTCAATGTTACTACAACTATACAGATTAA